AGCCATTAAACTCTGTAACTGTTTTAAAGTCACCATCCCTGAGTGGTCCTCTCCGGCAACTGGGTTAGGAAGGACACCTGTATCTTTGTAGTGACTGGGTGTATTGATACACCATCCAAAGTGTAATTAATAACTTTGCCATGCTCAAAGGGATATTCAATGTCTGTTTCTTTATTTTTACCCATCTACCAATAGATGCCCTTCTTTGCGAGGCATTGGAAAACCTCCCTGGACTCACTGATCGACTGAGGGACCTTACAGATAATTGTACTGTATTTATACTCCAAACTCCGACATTGCTTGTCCTAATATTTCTATATTTCTTAATTCCATTATTTTACTTTTAGATGTGTGTATTGTTGTGAATTGTTAGATACTACTGCACTGTTGGAGCTAGGAACACAAGCATTTCGCCACACCCCACAATAACATCTGCTAAACATGTGTATGCGACCAATAACATTTTATTTGATATCGTCCAGGACCGGGCCTGATGAGCATTGACTAGTCTATAAATTAAGAAAAGATTCCGTATCAAATGATACCATGCCGGTTGAAGAGGACTGGCCCATTGTCCATTTGACACAACATTAGCCCATTTATAGTCCTCAGAGCCAGAACAACCTTGTCCACTGCTGTTGAATAATTCATGAACCCTCCTGCTTCCCTAACAGCAGGAGTGTTTACTAATGATTATAACCAATTGTTTTGCTAACTTAGTATGTCTATTAAACGTTCTACACCTCCTCTTTCTAACTGTCCTCTGGTGTAGAACCCTACAGACTATGGCACTGTAGTAAAACAGATATGTGGACTTTCTTTTCTACGATGCACAATGCTTACTAGTTAATAAATAAATCTGTCTTCTTTTAAAAAGGTTGGATGTGTCGGACTATTCATTAATAATTATTCAACAGCAGTGGACAAGGTTGTTCTGGCTCTGAGGACTGTAATGCTGTAATGTGTCCAATGGAAAATGGGCCAGTCCTCTCCAACCTGGCATGGTACAGTGGCTTGCCAAAGTATTCACCCCCCTTGGCATTTTTCCTATTTTGTTGCCTTACAACTTGGAATTATAATTGATTTTTGGGGGGGTTTGTATCATTTGATTTACACAACATGCCTACCACTTTGAAGATGCAAAATATATTTTATTGTGAAACAAGAAAAATAAAACAGAAAACCAGAGTCAATACTTTGTAGAGCCACCTTTTGCAGCAATTACAGCTGCAAGTCTCTTGGGGTATGTCTCTATAAGCTTGGCACATCTAGCCATTCTTCAAGGCAAAACTGCTCCAGCTCCTTCAAGTTGTACAACAATCTTTAAGTCATACCACAGATTCTCAATTGGATTGAGGTCTGGGCTTTGACTAGGCCATTCCAATACATTTAAATGCTTCCCCTTAAACCACTCGAGTGTTGCTTTAGCAGTATGCTTAGGGTCATTGTCCTACTGGAAGGTGAACCTCCGTCCCAGTCTCAAATCTCTGGAAGACAGAAACAGGTTTCCCTCAAGAATGTCCCTGTATTTAGCGCCATCCATCATTCCTTCAATTCTGACCAGTTTCCCAGTCCCTGCCGATGAAAAACATCTCCAGAGCATGATGCTGCCACCACCATGCTTCACTGTGGAGATGGTGTTCTCGGGGTGATCAGAGGTGTTGGGTTTGCGCTAGACATAGTGTTTTCCTTGATGGCCAAAAAGCTCAATTTTAGTCTCATCTGACCAGAGTACCTTCTTCCATATGTTTGGGGAGTCTCCCACATGCCTTATTTATTTCTTTAAGCAATGGCTTTTTTTCTGGCCACTCTTCCGTAAAGCCCAGCTCTGTGGAGTGTACGGCTTAAAGCGGTCCTATGGACAGATACTCCAATCTCCGCTGTGGAGCTTTGCAGCTCCTTCAGGGTTATCTTTGGGCTCTTTGTTGCCTCTCTGATTAATGCCCTTGCCTGGTCCGTGAGTTTTGGAGAGCGGCCCTCTCTTGGCAGGTTCGTTGTGGTGCCATATACTTTCAATTTTTTAATAATGGATTTAATGGTGCTCCGTGGGATGTTCAAAGTTTCGGATATTTTTTTATAACCCAACCCTGATCTGTACTTCTCCACAACTTTGTCCCTGACCTGTTTGGAGAGCTCCTTGGTCTTCATGGTGCCGCTTGCTTGGTGGTGCCCCTTGCTTAGTGGTGTTGCAGACTCTGGGGCCTTTCAGAACAGGTGTATATATACTGAGATCATGTGACAGATCATGTGACACTTAGATTGGACAGGTGGACTTTATTTAACTAATTATGTGATTTCTGAAGGTAGTTGGTTGCTCCAGATCTTATTTAGGGGCTTCATAGCAAAGGGGGTGAATACATATGCACGCACCACTTTTCCAAATAAAAATCCAATTTAAATTACAGGTTGTAATGCAACAAAATAGGAAAAACGGCAAGGGGGATGAATACTTTTGCAAGGCACTGTATAATTTTATACGGAATCTTTTCTTCCAACTACTGTCCATCACTCCCTCCCCTCTGTGCCCCTGTCATTTTAACTGTCTTGATTCTTTTTGTATTCTTTGTTTAGTTGTTTTGTTTTGCCTACATAGAGCTTTCAGATTTCTCTGTAATCAAATGTGCTACACAAATTAAAATCAATTTGGATGCACAGGGCCAGGGCCCCTCCCAGAAGAGCAGAGAAGAGAGGACAGCCTCTGGCAGAGCTATGAAAGGTCACTGATCTCAGCAGTGAATGTACGGTGTTGATTGATCAGGACAGCCAGGGTCACTCTAGATCTCACTAAAGCAGTACAGAATTCCCTGAGGTCCTGGAGTAGAGCTGCAGAGACTAAATGGAGTAGAGCTGCAGAGACTAAATGGAGTAGAGCTGAAGAGACTAAATGGAGTAGAGCTGAAGAGACTAAATGGAGTAGAGCTGCAGAGACTAAATGGAGTAGAGCTGAATGAAGAGACTAAATGGAGTAGAGCTGCAGAGACTAAATGGAGTAGAGCTGCAGAGACTAAATGGAGTAGAGCTGAAGAGACTAAATGGAGTAGAGCTGAAGAGACTAAATGGAGTAGAGCTGAAAGACTAAATGGAGTAGAGCTGCAGAGACTAAATGGAGTAGAGCTGCAGAGACTAAATAGAGTAGAGCTGCAGAGACTAAATGGAGTAGAGCTGCAGAGACTAAATGGAGTAGAGCTGAAGAGACTAAATGGAGTAGAGCTGCAGAGACTAAATGGAGTAGAGCTGCAGAGACTAAATGGAGTAGAGCTGAAGAGAACTAAATGGGAGTAAGAGCTGAAGAGACAAAATGGAGTAGAGCTGAAGAGACAAAATGGAGTAGAGCTGAAAAGACTAAATGGAGTAGAGCTGCAGAGACTAAATGGAGTAGAGCTGCAGAGACTAAATGGAGTAGAGCTGCAGAGACTAAATGGAGTAGAGCTGAAGCAGACTAAACATGGAGTAGAGCTGAAGAGACTAAATGGAGTAGAGCTGAATAGACTAAATGGAGTAGAGCTGCAGAGACTAAATGGAGTAGAGCTGCAGAGACTAAATGGAGTAGAGCTGCAGAGACTAAATGGAGTAGAGCTGAAGAGACTAAATGGAGTAGAGCTGAAGAGACTAAATGGAGTAGAGCTGCAGAGACTAAATGGAGTAGAGCTGAAGAGACTAAATGGAGTAGAGCTGAAGAGAGTAAATGGAGTAGAGCTGAAGAGACTAAATGGAGTAGAGCTGAAGAGACTAAATGGAGTAGAGATGCAGAGACTAAATGGAGTAGAGCTGCAGAGACTAAATGGAGTAGAGCTGAAGAGACAAAATGGAGTAGAGCTGAAGAGACTAAATGGAGTAGAGCTGAATAGACTAAATGGAGTAGAGCTGCAGAGACTAAATGGAGTAGAGCTGCAGAGACTAAATGGAGTAGCGCTGCAGAGACTAAATGGAGTAGAGCTGCAGAGACTAAATGGAGTAGAGCTGAAGAGACTAAATGGAGTAGAGCTGCAGAGACTAAATGGAGTAGAGCTGCAGAGACTAAATGGAGTAGAGCTGAAGAGACTAAATGGAGTAGAGCTGAAGAGACTAAATGGAGTAGAGCTGCAGAGACTAAATGGAGTAGAGCTGAAGAGACTAAATGGAGTAGAGCTGAAGAGACTAAATGGAGTAGAGCTGAAGAGACTAAATGGAGTAGAGCTGAAGAGACTAAATGGAGTAGAGATGCAGAGACTAAATGGAGTAGAGCTGAAGAGACTAAATGGAGTAGAGCTGAATAGACTAAATGGAGTAGAGCTGCAGAGACTAAATGGAGTAGAGCTGAATAGACTAAATGGAGTAGAGCTGCAGAGACTAAATGGAGTAGAGCTGAATAGACTAAATGGAGTAGAGCTGCAGAGACTAAATGGAGTAGAGCTGCAGAGACTAAATGGAGTAGAGCTGAATAGACTAAATGGAGTAGAGCTGAATAGACTAAATGGAGTAGAGCTGCAGAGACTAAATGGAGTAGAGCTGAATAGACTAAATGGAGTAGAGCTGCAGAGACTAAATGGAGTAGAGCTGAATAGACTAAATGGAGTAGAGCTGCAGAGACTAACTGGAGTAGAGCTGCAGAGACTAAATGGAGTAGAGCTGAAGAGACTAAATGGAGTAGAGCTGCAGAGACTAAATGGAGTAGAGCTGAAGAGACTAAGTGGAGTAGAGCTGAAGAGACTAAGTGGAGTAGAGCTGAAGAGACTAAGTGGAGTAGAGCTGAATAGACTAAATGGAGTAGAGCTGAAGAGACTAAATGGAGTAGAGCTGAAGAGACTAAGTGGAGTAGAGCTGCAGAGACTAAATGGAGTAGAGCTGAAAATACTAATGGAGTAGAAGCTAAAGGAGACTAAATGGAGTAGAGCTGAAGAGACTAAATGGAGTAGAGCTGAAGAGACTAAGGAGTAGAGCTGCAGAGACTAAATGGAGTAGAGCTGAAAATACTAAATGGAGTAGAGCTGAAAATACTAAATGGAGTAGAGCTGCAGAGACTAAATGGAGTAGAGCTGCAGAGGATGGAAAAGGTCATGTTGTCCCTCAACTACATCCATTATCTAAACAGGTTTACACCATCAGCATTACCCGTTGGTCATGTTGTCTTAAAGCATTTGTACACGAGAGGGCGTGCTAAACAACTTCTTTAGCCCGGTACGAGGCGGAGCAGAGTACCATAGATCAGCACAGCCGTGCTAAAAAAGCTGTTTTGCACAACCTCGATTGTACAATTGCTTTTCTACAACGGTTAACCTATTACATAAAGCTACATAGGCTAATATTTCATCCCTCAATGAAAACATAGGCCTAGTCCTGACATATCTATGGTTGCTAGCCAAGCCGGCTGGCCGTTCATTCTATCGGTTAGGTTGTCAGGGACGCCACCCAGACGTTAAGTATTTCTGTTCTATATCTATGGACCCAGTAGTTAGTTCTAAATGTTCCGTTGCCATGCTGGCTGGCTCTTATCCCTCGCTCGCTAGCTAGCCAACTACGGCTAACACAGTCAGGTCAAACAGTGCAGCCAGAATAACAGCAAAGTAGCTGCATTTGAGTTTGTTTAAGCTGTTTTCTAGTGACATTTATTTGGATACATCGATAACAATGAGCTAATGATGCGCAATTTTTGCCTGGCATAGAAAATGTGCTCACTCGTCAGGACACTGTTGTTCAGAGGAGCTAGCCAACAACACAGCTAACGCAATCACTTCAAACTGAAGCTGGTAAGACAGCAAACTAGCTGCATTTCATGTCGTTTTACCAGTTTTTCTATTGACATTTCTTTGTATATATAAAAATGATGCTGATTCGTGATTTCGACTAGCTGAGAAAATATATCAGTCTCTTCCTGAATATTGAAACAATGTTGCAAATGTCGAGAGACAGACAGCAATGTTTGTACAAACCCCCGTTATTGCAAACCAAATGTTAGGCTAGAAGCAAGGGGAAATAATGTCTACATGCTTTTTACAGTGGAGATCAAGTTAATGAATTGGCTGTCTGGGCTGATGGGACAGTGGATGCGCAGGGATTTCTCAGATGAAACAGAAAACAAGATGCCAATTTCTGCGTCATAGGCTTACCTGTGATAAACACGTTTTTTAGTATGGCTTTAGAACGCAATTATTTTTTTGACCAACCTGTTTTAGAAACTACAATCCATTATCTAAACAGGTTAACACCATCATCATCACCCGTGGGTCCCAGTGGCATGGCACAGATTTTTACAGCTATGATGACTGACTATGTAGACTACTTACCATCTGCAGGGCTGAGATCTCAAAACCTGCTGCTGAGATGGAGTGGAGGATCTTTCCTGTCAGGGCTGTGGACACAGAGAGACAGGAGGTTAATGACATAACAGATCTGGGCCTGGATGTGGTCAGGACTGCTCTGCCAGGGGGCAGTACACTAGTCAGACGGTAGACTGACAGCAGGCTTCACCATTATATGTGGTCCTCTGTAGCTCAGCTGGTAGAGCATGGCGCTTGGATAAAAGCGTCTGCTAAATGGCATATTATTATTATTATTATTATCCTGCATAGCTTCAGTTATCAGATTATCCCATCAAAGACAGAGGTTGTGACCCAAATGACACCCCATCTTCCTTATATCAGGGATGGGAAATACTCCAGTCCCCGGGGGCCTGAATGGTGTCACACTTTTGGCCCAGCCCCAGCTAACACACCTGACTCCAATAATCAACTGGTCAAAATATTCAGTTTAGATTCTAAATGAGTTTAATCAGCTGTGTTTGCTAGGGATGGGGGGGGAAAGGGTGACACCACTCTGGTCCCCGAGGACTGGAGTTGCCCATCCCTGATATAAGGAAGATGGGGTGTCATTTGGGAGGAGTTGCCCATCCCTATATGGTGGGGGAGGTCTGTCGAATGCTCAGTCTGCTCTGCTCTCACGTGGTTGGCCAGTCTGCTCTGCTCTCACGTGGTTGGCCAGGGACCTTGGCAAAGTCTCAGCTCATTCAACAAATAGCTGCAGATGACCCTATGCCTGTTATCTCTGATGGCAATGACCTGAATACCCCTCTGACTTTAAATCTCATAGGGGGCTTGGGCTAATGCACCTAAATGTGACAAGTATGATTTAAAAAATGGACACAATGGACATTTGGGTTCAGGACTCATGTCCTGACCTTCTGGTTCTCTCAGAAACATGGTTAAATGGTTCAGTATATGATAAAGACATTAAAGTAAATGATTATAATGTATTTAGATGTGACATATTACAGGAAGGGGGAGGAGTGGCCATATGCTGTATGGCAAATCTACACTGAACTAAAATATAAACGCAACATGCAACAATTTCACAGATTTTACTGAGTTACAGTTCATATAAGGAAATCAGTCAATTAAAATAAATTCATTAGGCCCTAATCTATGGATTTCACATGACTGGGAATACAGATATTCATCTGTAGGTCACAAATACCTTTTAAAAAAAGGTAGGGGTGTGGATCAGAAAGCCAGTCAGTATCTGGTGTGACCACCATTTGCCTCATGCAGCGCGACACATCTCCTTCACATAGAGTTGATCAGGCTGTTGATTGTGGCCTGTGGAATGTTGTCCCACTCCTCTTCAATGGCTGTGCGAAGTTGCTGGATATTGGCAGGAACTGGAACACGCTGTCGTACACGTCGAGCCAGAGCATCCCAAACATGCTCAATGAGAGACATGTCTGGTGAGTATGCAGTCCATGGAAGAACAGGGACATTTTCAGCTTTCAGGAATTGTGTACAGATCCTTGCTATATGGGGCCGCGCATTAACATGCTGAAACCTGAGGTGATGGCAGCAGATGAATGGCACGACAATGGGCCTGAGGATCTCGTCACGATATCTGCATGTGTGCATTCAAATTGCCATAGAAAAAATGCAATTGTGTTCGTTGTCCAAACCTTATGCCTGCCAATACCATAACCCCACCGCCACCATGGGGAACTCTGTTGACATCAGCAAACCGCTCGCCATACACACTGTCACTCCTGAGTGGCGCAGTGGTCTAAGGCACTGCATCGCAGTGCTAACTGTGCCACTAGAGATCCTGGTTGAATCCAGGCTCTGTTGCAGCCGGCCGGACCGGGAGGACTCATGGGCGGCACAATTGGCCCATGTCGTCCGGGTAGGGGAGGGAATGGCCGGCAGGGATGTAGCTCAGTTGATAGGCATGGCTGTTGCAACGCCAGGGTTGTGGGTTGATTCCCACGGGGGGCCAGTATAAAAATAAAAAAATTATTCACTAACTGTAAGTCGCTCTGGATAAGAGCGCCTGCTAAATATGTAAAATGTAATGTAAATGTCTGCCATCTGCCCTGTAGAGTTGAAATCGTGATTTATCTGTGAAGAGCACACTTCTCCAGAGTGCCATCGAAGGTGAGCATTTGCCCACTGAAGTCATTTACGACGCCAAATTGCAGTCAGGTCAAGACCCTGGTGAGGACGACGAGCACGCAGATTAACTTCCCTGAGACGGTTTCTGACAGTTTGTGCAGAAATTCTTCGATTCTTCGGATGTGGTGGTCCTGGGCTGGCGTGGTTACACGTGGTCTGTGGTTGTGAGGCCAGTTGGATGTACTGCCAAATTCTCTAAAATGATGTTGGAGGCAGCTTATGGTAGAGAAATTAACATTGAATTCTCTGGCAACAACTCTGGTGGACATTCCTGCAGTCAGCATGCCAATTGCACGCTCCCTCAAAACTTGAGACATCTGTGGCATTGTGTTGTGTGACAAAACTGCACATTTTAGAGTGGCCTCATGTAGCGCGACACATCTCCTTTGTATAAGAGTGGCCTTTAATTTTCCCCAGCACAAGGTGCACCTGTGTAATTATCATGCTGTTTAATCAGCTTCTTGATATGCCACACCTGTCAGGTGGATGGATTATTTTGGCAAAGGAGAAATGTTCACTAACAGGGATGTAAACAAATTTGCGCACAACATTTGAGAGAAATAAGCTTTTTGTGCTTATGGAAAAACAGGGTTGTTTAATGCTGGAGACTCAACGTGTATCCACAGAGTTGGGTAAATCAGCCTTTTCCTACCAGGCCCCTATCATGTGGAATAATCTCCAAGTAACGTTTCATTTGGATGTGTTGTAGTCTCTGGGTCAGTTTAGGAGAAAGGGATTTTTATATTGATAAATGTGTTTGTTTTGTTTGATTGTTTATTGTGTATATCATATTTGATATTTATTTAATTTTGTGCTTTAAATTACGTATAATTGTATTTTCTGTATTGTTCCCAGGGCACATTTGCAAATGAGACCTAGGTCTCAATTTGTTTTCCCTGGTTAAATAAAAAAAGTGAATAATGACTATTATTTTGCTAGCTAACCAGCCAGCCAGCCAGCTCAGAGAGAGCATTGCATTTGTCGGGTTTGTAGTCGACTTGAGCTGTAACAGATTTCCACAACGATTGTTACATGTTGCTACCAACCTTATTATAACGACAAAATTTAAGATTTGTTAACAAAAAATATTGTTCTCACATATTAGTGTTATGTAACACTGTAAATTATAGGAATGAGTGGCTTTGGGTGGATTTTTCCTTTAAGACATTTGCTAGAATCTATGTTGTGCCTTTAGATTAAGAGAAAATTAATAACGAAGGAATAATTTTACACTTCTCTCAATGACTTCTCAAACCCCAAATACCGGCCTGGTCAGCCTGGTCTGCTTCGCAAGTGTTCCCAGATGTCTGGCGATGTTGTGCCTCTGGGTTTAGAAAGTCTGTGACTGGACTGTAGGAGACAGTGGATGCATCCCAAACGGCATCCTATTCACTATATAGTGCACTACTTTAGACCAGAGTCCTATGGGCCAGTGTTCCCGTACAGAGAGCCAAGGCTAAACTCTAGAAGCTCTGAGAGGATATACAGTGCATTCGGGAAGTATTCAGACCCCTTCACTTTTTCCACATTTGTTTACGTTACAGCCTTATCATAAAATTGATTAAATTGTTTTCCCCCCTCATCAATCTTCACACAATACCCCATAATGACAAAGCAAAAACAGGTTTTTAGAACATTTTGCAAAAATAAAATAAAAACTGAAATATCGCATTTACATAAGTATTCAGACCCTTTAATCAGTACTTTGTTGAAGCACCTTTGGCAGCGATTACAGCCTCAAGTCTTCTTGGGTATGATGCTACAAGCTTGGCACACCTGTATTTGGGGAGTTTCTCCCATTCTTCTCTGCAGATCCTCTCAAGCTCTGTCAGGTTGGAGGGGGAGCGTCGCTGCACAGCTATTTTCAGGTCTCTCCAGAGATGTTCCATCGGATTCTATAATATAATAATATGGCATTTAGCAGAAGCTTTTATCCAAAGCAACTTACAGTCATGTGTGCATACATTTTTAAGTATGGGTGGTCCCGGGGATCGAGCGCCACGCTCTACCCTGGTGTTACAAGCGCCACGCTCTTCCAATTGAGCTACAGAGGACCACCGGTCTCTGGCTGGGCCACTCAAAGACATTCAGAGACTTGTCCCGAAGCCACTCCTGCGTTGTCTTGGCTGTGTGCTTAGGGTCGTTGTCCTGTTGGAAGGTGAACCTTCGCCCCAGTCTGAGGTCCTGAGCGCTCTGGAGCAGGTTTTCATCAAGGATCTCTGTACTTTGCTCTGTTCATCTTTCCCTCGATCCTGACTAGTCTCCCAGTCCCTGCCACTGAAAAACATCCCCACAGCATGATGCTGCCACCAACATGCTTCACCGTAGGGATGGTGCCAGATTTCCTCCAGATGTGACGCTTGGCATTCAGGCCAGAGTTTAATCGTGGTTTCATCAGACCAGAGAATCTTGTTTCTGAGAGTCTTTAGGTGCCTTTTGGCAAACTCCAAGCGGGCTGTCATGTGCCTTTTACTGAGGAGTGGCTTCCGTCTGGCCACTCTACCATAAAGGCCTGATTGGTGGAGTGCTGCAGATATGGTTGTCCTTCTGGAAGGTTCTCCCATCTCCACAGAGGAACTCTGGAGCTCTGTCAGAGTGACCATCGGGTTCTTGGTCACCTCCCTGACCAAGGTCCTTCTCCCCCGATTGCTCAGTTTGGCCGGGCAGCCAGCTCTAGGAAGAGTATTGGTGGTTCCAAACTTCTTCCATTTAAGAACAATGGAGGCCACTGTGTTCTTGGGGACCTTCAATGCTGAAGATATTTTTTGGTACCCTTCCCCAGATCTGTGCCTCGACACAATCCTGTCTCAGAGCTCTACGGACAATTCCTTCGACCTCATGGCTTGGTTTTTTCTCTGACATGCACTGTCAACTGTGGGACCTTATATAGACAAGTGTGTGACTTTCCAAATCATGTCCAATCAATTTAATTTACCACAGGTGGACTCCAATCCAGTTGTAGAAACATCTCAAGGATGATCAATGGAAACAGGATACACTTGAGCTCAATTTCGAGTCTCATAGCAAAGGGTCTCAATACTTATGTAAATAAGGTATTTCTGTTTTTTATTTTTTGATAAATCTGCAAAAATGTCTAAAAACCTGTTTACGCTTTGTCATTATGGGGTAGTGTGTAGATTGATGAGGATTTGTATTTTTTAAATGTATTTTAGAATAAGGCTGTAACGTAACAAAATGTGGAAAAAGTCAAGGGGTCTGAATACTTTCCGAATGTGCTGTATATATACTGTATATACTTTACACAACACTGGAGAAGACATGAGTGACACCACAACCACCTCACAGGAACTACTAGACAGACAATACAGACAGACAATACAGACAGACAGACAGACAGACAGACAGACAGACAGAAAGGCAGGCAGGCAGGCAGGCAGGCAGACAGACAGACAGACAATACAGACAGACAATACAGACAGACAGACAGACAGACAGACAGACAGACAGAAAGGCAGGCAGGCAGTCAGGCAGGCAGGCAGGCAGGCAGGCAGGCAGGCAGGCAGGCAGGCAGGCAGGCAGGCAGGCAGACAATACAGACAGACATACAGACAGACAGACAGACAGACAGACAGGCAGACAGGCAGACAGGCAGACAATACAGACAGACAGACAGACAGACAGACAGACAGACAGACAGACAGACAGGCAGGCAGGCAGGCAGACAGACAATACAGACAGACAATACAGACAGACAGACAGACAGACAGACAGAAAGGCAGGCAGGCAGGCAGGCAGGCAGGCAGGCAGGCAGGCAGGCAGGCAGACAGGCAGACAGGCAGACAATACAGACAGACATACAGACAGACAGACAGGCAGACAGGCAGACAGGCAGACAATACAGACAGACAGACAGACAGACAGACAGACAGACAGACAGACAGACAGACAGACAGACAGACAGACAGACAGACAGACAGACAGACAGACAGACAGACAGACAGACAGACAGACAGACAGACAGACAGGAACTACGACCTCATAAATGACTTGGTGTAAAAGTCAATGATTGTTTCTATGTCTTTATACGTTTCCTATTTATAGGAAATACAGCAATAAAAAGTGCTACTGAATGAATACTTAATGTAAGGAATAAAGTCAATACATGATGTCCAGATGAGCTAATCAATCTGGATTCACTCATCCAAATGGCCACTGAATAGCAGCATATAAATACAATGGCATTTCTGTATATGATTTCTGCATAAAGCACAGTTGTTTGGTGTTACATTTGCACCATATTACTAACAACCTGATAAGAAACAGTAATAGCGGAGTACACTGTGAACGGCAAACAGGTGCCATTTCAAAACCCATTTCTCTGTTTGCTATAGCAGCTGCCGATAGACTGCTATACACGTCTAGCTGTTTGGTCACGCCTGGGTTATCAGTGAATTACACCTTCGCTCTCCCCAAGCAGCAGCCAGCCTGCCTCCAACAGAACAGGCCCCAGCATCGCCTCCTCCCTCGTCACATCAGCTCTCTCCCTTCCCACCTCCACAGTCCCCCAATCCCAACTGGCACTGTTGCTAGGAGATCAGGTTCTGGGTGCCTAGCAACAGATGTTTCTCTATTCCAGTCATGACTGAGCACAAATTTTGTCACGACTCACCTCCCATTGGTTGAAGATTGCAGACAGATGAAGCTAGCCTCCCCTCAACTGACCCTTTACTAACGCCTTGGTTACTGTTGCAACCTTGGACAACATTTTCCCAGGAAGCCCAATTCCCTCACAATGATCTCAAACTGTGTTTCTAATACACAATTAAATCAAACACAGACTACCCCTTGCTAATCAAAAAACGATTGGGTATGTTGTGGTGGACTGTCATTACAATCGCTTCACGGGAACCTGGTCAAATGATGTTTGTAGTCTAGCTAGCCACTGAACGGCTCTGGATTCACTGTCAGCATGCAGTCAAAGCTATGACCACTTTTGGAACGAACTAACGTTAGTGCTCTCAATTTTTTATTTTACCTTTATTTAACCAGGTAAGCCAGGTAAAATCATATCCTGATGTCAACAGCAGATGGGAGTTGTATTCATAACATTGCTAACTTAGCTAGCTAACATACATTGAGAAAACAAGTTATATTAAGGTGCTAGCTAGCTAGCGTTAGCAACATTTGGTGGTCAATGAGACTGAGAGCTAACCAGCTGAGCTAGCAAACAAAGTAACAAAAGTATAATTTAGGATTAGAAAAATACTTCATTAGGCTGTGGATTTCAGGAATCACAGTAGCAAGTACTCCTGATGCACTGTTCAATTATTTAGCCATTTAAACATCATTTTGTTGAAGAAAACTCAGTTTTTGCCATAGCCCTCACTGGCTTTCATGCCCTATGGGCCCCGGTGTAAAGTAGTGCACTACGTAGGGAATAGGGTGCCATTCTCTGGTCTAAAGTAGTGCACTACGTAGGGAATAGGGTGCCATTCTCTGGTCTAAAGTAGTGCACTACGTAGGGAATAGGGTGCCATTCTCTGGTCTAAAGTAGTGCACTACGTAGGGAATAGGGTGCCATTTTCTGGTCTAAAGTAGTGCACTATATAGGGAATAGGGTGCCATTCTCTGGTCTAAAGTAGTGCACTATATAGGGAATAGGGTGCCATTTGGGACGCAGCTCTGAATCCGGACTTGCAGCCAAGGTGTGGTCTGACTCTGCATGGCCTTCCAGTATCCATGTGGACTTCGTCCAAGGAGGCAGTGGGGCAAGGATAGGTTAAAGAACAGTTGTATCTCTGGCAGGCTGCCTATCCAGTACAGTGTAACTGTAAGGTCCCCTTGTCCACCGTGGTATCCCCTACCTAAACAAGCCCCTGTCTCCCTCTGCTACACACGTCTATGCTTCTGCTAGCTGAATAGAGAAAACTTTAAAAAGCCACTAGAGACTAGAGGAAAGATGTTGAACCTATTAGCTAATCCACTTGTCCAATTCCTGTGAGGAATAATAGAGTAATTAACCTTTCCTGATAGTGATCTTAGACTAACATCTAGAGCTAACAATAACAACCTCATGAAAGGCTGCCCTGCTGCTCTGTTCTGCTCTGCTCTACTCTGTTCTACTCTACTCTGTTCTACTGTACTCTGTTCTGCTCTACTCTACTCTGTTCTACTGTACTCTGTTCTGCTCTACTCTGTTCTACTGTACTCTGTTCTACTCTACTGTACTCTGTTCTGCTCTACTCTGTTCTACTCTACTGTACTCTTTTCTGCTCTACTCTGTTCTACTGTACTCTGTTCTACTCTACTGTACTCTGTTCTGCTCTACTCTGTTCTACTCTACTCTGTTCTGCTCTACTCTGTTCTACTGTACTCTGTTCTGCTCTACTCTACTCTGTTCTACTCTACTCTGTTCTGCTCTACTGTACTCTGTTCTACTCTACTCTGTTCTACTCTACTGTACTCTGTTCTGCTCTACTCTGTTCTACTGTACTCTGTTCTGCTCTACTCTGTTCTACTGTACTCTGTTCTGCTCTGCTCTACTCTGTTCTACTCTACTCTGTTCTGCTCTACTCTACTCTGTTCTGTTCTACTCTGTTCTGCTCTACTCTACTCTGTTCTACTGTACTCTGTGATGCTCTGCTCTACTCTACTCTGTTCTACTGTACTCTGTGATGCTCTGCTCTACTCTGTGATGCTATGTTCTGCTCTACTCTGCTCTGCTCTCCTCTACTCTGCTCTCCTCTGTTCTCCTCTACTCTGTTCTGCTCTACTCTGCTATGTTCTGCTCTACTCTGTTCTGTTCTGTTCTACTCTGCTATGTTCTGCTCTACTCTGTTCTGTTCTACTCTGCTGTGTTCTGCTCACCCTGGCCACTCCCAGTGCTCTGAACCAGTCACAGCCAGATCAGTACTGCTTATCTTCCTACAGGCATTACTAGGCAGGCTGTTACTTAGAAACCACCCTCGGCTGGGTTGTAGACAACCGGATGCATCCGGTTTTCAGGGGAAATAGAAAGAGAACCTGTGACACTTTTGGACGTTAACAATGCGACACTCCACCTTAACTCCTCCTCCACGTTTACTGGATTGGTTGAATAGTGCAGAAGAGAACCTTCCCCAATAGTTTTTGCCCCCCCCTAGTCAGGACCAGAAAGAAAGGAATGCCACTCAGGCATTTTCTTTTATGCCTGCAACGTTAGGTTACTCAGAAACAAACCTACAGCTAGATCATAATAGTACTCAGCATGCATAGTAACAGTATGACTGTTTCCATTGTGAACAACACATGAACATTTTCCAATATCTAGGCTACAATAACAAGACCATGATTTATCATGTCCTCCAACAGTATGATACTATCACTTTCTAAAGACTATTTAAAACACCTCTGAAAAAGAGGAAACCTTATTAACTTTCTAAACACTGTTTAAAACACCTCTGAAAAAGAGGAAACCTTATTCACTTTCTAAAGACTATTTAAAACGCCACTAAAGAATAGGAAACCTTTGGTGGTATATAGGATTGGCTATATACTAATATGAACAACGCTATAACAATGACTCTAATGAGGGTTACATAGGTCTGAAACAGGTGTAGAATGCAACTAGACAGGGGCCCTGCTCTGATCGGGGGGTGTGTGATTAGTCCCCTCCTGTACTCCCTGTTCACTCATGACTGCGTGGCCGTGCAAGACTCCAACACCATCATTAAGTTTGCCGATGACACAACAGTGGTAGGCCTGATCACCGGCGACAATGAGACGGCCTACAGGGAAGACGTCAGTGAGCTGGCAGTGTGGTGCCGGGACAACAAACTCTCCCTCGACGTTAGTAAGACAAAGGAGCTGATCGTGAACTACAGGAAACGGGGGGCCGAGCACGCCCACGTTCACATCGACAGGGCTGCAGTGGAGCGGTGTCCAAATTACTAAGGACTTGGACAATGGTCCACACACACGAAATCAGTGGTGAAGAAGGCGTTACAGTGCCTCGTCCCCTTCAGGAGGTTGAACAGATTTGATATGGGCCCTCAAATCCTCAAAAGTTCTACAACTGCACCATTGAGAACATCTTGACTGGCTGCATCACTGCTTGGTATGGCAATAGCACCGGCCTCGATCGCATGGCGCTACAGAGGGTGGTGCGGACAGCCCAGTACATCACTGGGGCCGAGCTCCCTGCCTCCAGTGCCAATGATAATTCCCTCGATCTGGGGGTTTCCCCGCAAAATCTTTACCCCGTGGGGGGGAAAAAATATTTACAAGAACGGTGAGCAAAAATCCCAGAAACCCCACGGGGGGGCCAAATGAAACTGCGGGGAAACGGGACCAAAGTATCAAACCCACCATAGTAACCCCACTACGCCCCAGGGATAAATCCTGCAGTGCCGATGTTCCCCTTGCTTAAGCCGTAAAAAGGCCCGGCCCGTCTGGGCGTGGGCCCAGAGTGCATTTTTGATGATCCCGAAGAGGTTGGGGGAAAAGTCATGGGCAAGGGGGAAAAACCCAAAAAAAGAAATTTTGGTTTTAAAAAACCCAATCGCGGTTTTGGAGGACAAAGAATGCTGAGTTTAAACCAAAAAAACCCCCTACCTTTCTGTGAAAAATGGGGGTGGAAAAAATCATGCTTTGGGGCTTTTTTTTTCTGCAAAAGGGGCCAGGCGGGGCTGTCCGTTTTTAAAGGAAAAAAAATAATGGGGCAATGGTTGTGAGATTTTTAGTGAAAACTCCTTCCATCGCAAAGGGATTGAAGATGAAAAATGGCTGGGTCTTTCAGCATGGGCAAGGGTCCCCAAAAACCCCCCGCCCGGGGGGGAACGAAAGGAGTGGCTTCGTAAGAAGCATTTAAGGTCCTGGAGTGGCCTAGCCAGTCTCCCCGATCTCAAACCCCCCCTAGAAAATCTTTGGGGGGGAGTTTTAAAGCCCTGTTTCACCCGGACAAACCCCAAAAAAAACACTGCTTAGAGGAGATCTGCATGGGGGGGGAATGGGCCCGAAACCCCGCAAAAGTGTGTAAAAATTGTGAAAAACTTCAGAAAAAAATTTGGGCCCGTGTCATTGCCAACCCAAAAATATATAACAAAGTATTGAGAAAAATTTTTTTATTTACCAAAAAACTTATTTTTTCCCCCATAAATTTTCAAAAAAATTAATTAAAAATCCTTTCAATGTGATTTCGGATTTTTTTTCCTCCAAATTTTCCCGTCTGTTGAGTTTTACCTATGATGAAAATTACATGCCCCTATCATCTTTTTTAAATGGGAGAACTTTCAAAAATTGGGGGTGACCTTTAAAAACTTTTTTCCCCCCCTGTACAATGTCTCTAGGGGACAAATGTCTCTATGTACACTGGTATGTACCCTGTTCTATGCAACCCGTCTCTATGCACACTGGCACACTGCCTCTATGCACACTGTCTCTATGTACACTGTCTCTATGCACACTGTCTCTATGTACACTGACTATGTACACTGTCTCTATGAAAACGTCTTTTGCACCCCTGGCACCTGTCTCTATGCACACTGTTTTTTATGTACCTGTCCCCTTTTGTACCCCTGTCTTTTGTACACTGGGCTCATGCACACGTCTCTATGTAAAACTGCTCTAGCACAAATGGGACACTGTCTCTATCACACTTCTCTATTTTCACTGTCTTTGCCACACTTTTTCCCCTGTCCCCTATTTACACCGTCTCTATGGACACTGTCTCATGCACACTGGCCCCACTGTCTCTATGCCCCTGTCTCTATGGACACTGTCTCTTTTGGGAAAAAGGCACCACTGTTTTCTATGCACAAGTCTCAGTAAAACCCGTTCTAGCACACGGGCTTAGCACACTGGCACACGGGCTCATGTACACTGTTCATTACATGTTTTCTTGCACAGTCTCTAGCCAAAACTGTCTTGGGACACTGTTTAAGGGACCCCGGGCTCTAGGGAATTTGGGCTCTATGTCACTGGCTCTTTGTACACGGGCTTATGACCTTGTCTCTATGTACACTGGAATCTTGCCCCACTGGAAAAACGTCTTATGTAACGTCTCTATGTTTCACTTTTTCTAGGGCACTGATTAAAGAAAACTGGCACACTGTTTATGAAAGGGCTCTATGGACACTTTTCTATGTACCCCGGTTTTAGTACCCCTGTCTCTATTTCCCCAATGTCTTTTGTACACTGTCTCATGACAATGTCTAATGCACCCCTGGTTTTAGGGACACTGTTTTGCACCCCTGTCTCTAGTACACGTCTTATGTACACTGTCTTATGCAAACTTTGGGACACGTCTCTTGAAAACTGTCTCTAGGGACCCCGTTCTAAGGGACACGGCCAATTCTCTAGCACAGTTCTAGTTTCACGGGCTTATGCAAAGGGCCTATGCACACGGGCCCCACTTTTTTATGTCAGTCTTTTGTACACGTCTCTAGCCCCCTGTCTCTATGAAAACGTCTCATGCACACTGTTTTTTATGTACAAAGGTCTCTATGACATTGTCTCTAGTACAATGTTTTTTGTACAAAGTCCTATGTAATTGTCCTATGTACACTGACTCTATGCAACTGGCCCCCAAGCTCTTGTACATTGTTTTCTATGACATTTTCTCATGTACACTGACATATGAAAAACTGGCACACTGTCTCTATGTACACTGTCTCTATGTACACTGTCTTTTGTACACTGACTCTATGCACACCTGGCACACTGTCTCTATGTACACTGTCTCTATGTAAACTGTTTATGTACACTGTCTTATGTTTCACTGTCTCTTGCACACTGCTTAGACACGTCTCTATGCACACGTCTCTATTTCCCCACTGTCTCTATGTACAATTCTCTATTTTCACACTGTTTCTATGTACCCCTGTCTCTAGCACCCCCGGGCTCTATGTACAGTATTATGAAAACTGTCTCTATTTTCACACGGGCCCACGGCTTATGTACACTGTCTCTTGTACCCCTGTCTTTATGTACACTGTCTTATGCACACGGTTTTATTACATGTTCTTGCCCACTGTCTCTATGAAAACGGGCTCTATGCACACTGGCCCACTGCCTATTTTACCTGTCTCTATGCACACTTTTCTCTATGCACAAATGGCACACTGTCTCTATGACACTTTTTCTATGCAAACGTCTCTATGTACAAATGTCTTAATTTCAAAACTGGGCCCCTTTTTCTCTATGAAAACGGGCTCTATTTTTACCAAAGTCTCATGCCCCATGTCTTATGGACACGTCCTAGTACACGTTTTAGGGACACGTCTCTATGTTAAACTGTTTATGAAAACCCCCCTTCTATGCCACGTCCTATGCACACTTTTCTATGTAAAATTGTCTTATGGGTTTCAAAGGGGCTCTATGCACCCCTGATCTATGCACAAAGGCCCAAATGTCCTATGTTTCACTTTCCCAGGGGAAAAGTCTCTATGCACCTGTTCTTGTACACGTCTCTAGGGACACGGGCTTATGCAAACTTTTTTCCCCTATGCACACTTCTCTATGAAACTGGCCCCACTGTTCATGTTTTCACCCGTCTTTGCACACTTTTCTTATGCACATGGCCACCCTTCTCTATGTACACTGTTTTCTATGGGCACGTCTTAGCACAGGGCTCTATGCAAAATTCCTAGGGACCTGTCTCTACAACTGGGGCACACTGTCTTAAACACAAATGGCACACTGTCTCTATGTAACCGGGCTTATGTTTCACTGCTCTATGCAAAACTGTTTTCTATGCAACTGTTCTATGTAATTGTCTCTATTACACGGGTTAGCCACTTTGGGAAACTGTTCTATGTAAAACTGCTTAGTACACGTTCTATGCACAAATGTCTCTATGTACACTGTCTCTATGCACACTGTCTTATGCACCCATGCTTATGTTTCACTGTCTCATGAAAACTGTCTATGTACCCCTGCTTTGCAACCTTTCTATTTAAAACTGCTCATGCACACGGCCCCACGGCCTATGTACACTGTCTTATGTACCCCTGTCTCTAGTACACTGTTCCCATGCCCCACTGTCTTATGGGACACTGTCTATGCACACTGTCCATGCACCCCTGGACAATGGGCTCTATGTCAAGTCCATGTTTTCACTTTTCTTATGCACCTGTCTCTAGGACCGTCTCTATGCACACTGTCTTTAGTTAACCCCGTCTCATGCACACTGTCTCTATCCCCAAAAAGGGAACTGTTCTATGTACACTGTCTCTATGTCATGGACCTTCTCTATGTCAAATTTCTAGGGACCCCGTCTTATGTACACTGGCAAAATGTTTTTATGTACACGGGCTCTATGTTTCATGTCTTTCCCCACTGTCCCCTATGCCCCATGTCCCCTTGTACATTTTTTTTCCATGACATGTCTCTTTTGCCCCACTTCTTTTGCCCCACTGTTCTTAAAGTAATTTGGGCTCTATGTACAAAGACTCTATTTTTTTAAAAACTCAAAACCCCACACTTCAAACCCGGGCCTCCAAACACCCCTCACAAATGCTTTGCTCACAAACACAAACACCAATCATACTGACTCTACAACAATCCCCCCCGATCTCATATCCCCCAAAGGGTAAATTTTTTATCAAATCCGATGCCCAGTCACCTGACCCTTTACATATCTTCCTCCCCACTCGTATCCCCACCCCAAAACAATCTTTCCCCAAACACTCCAGTATCCCTGTCCCCCTTTTTCCCCCCTACATATCCCTCCATCATCCGTACCCGTCCCCTTTCCCCGGGAAAATTACCCCACACCCAGGACCCTTCCCCCTTTTTCCCCCAACAGAATTCCCCAAAACCCCGGAACCGGGCCCCAAACCCCAAAAACCCCCCACACTCCAGGACCCGGGCCCCGTAAACCCCAACATACTACCCAAAACCCCGGACCCTGGCCCAAACCCAAACAACACCCCCACAAACCCCGGAACCAAAGGGGGGAAAAAAAAAGGCCCACACCCCAGGACCCGTCCCCTTTCCCCTAAAATATCTACCTCCCTCACCCAAATATCCCGACCCCCTTACCCCAACAAACTACCTCCAACACTCCGTATCCCTGTCCCCCTTTCCCCCCTACAACCCCCCAACCCAGGGGGGCCTGGCCCCACCCCAACAACACCTCCCAAAATCCCCGACCCGGGCACCTTAAACCCTATACAAACTTACCCCCATCATTTAAATATCCCGGGCCTACCCCAACTACTTTTCCTCAAACACTCCCGTTCCCTGACACAGGGGGAAAAATTGGGCTGAACCTGTATGGTCACTTCCCCCTACCCTATCTACCTCCCACTCCAGGATCCCTGGGCACCTTTCCCCCTAAATATTTTACCTCCAAAAACTCCGTTTTCCTGTTCCCCCCTTTCCCTTTTTAAATAAACTACCTCCAAAAACCCCTCCAGGTTTCCCTGGCCCCTTTTCCCCCAACAAAATCCCCCCCTCCAAAACACCCCCCCCCAGGAAAAACCCCCCACCCCCCACCCCCAAAAAGGGGAAAACCCCCCCCAAACCCAGAAAACCGTACCCACCCCAGACAGATTACCCCATCACTCCCGTATTTCCCCGTCCCCCTTTAAAAAAACATATCAAACCCCCAAAAACTCCAGTTTCCCCCTTAAACCCTATAATATTTTCCTCCATTTAACCCCCTTCCCTTTCCCCCCCCCCCCAACCCCCCCCCCCCCCCCCCCCCTTACCCTATCTACCCCCCACAACCGTAATTTCCCCCTTTTACATATTAAACCCCCAAAAACAAAGTATTTTCCCCTTAAAACCCCCAAAACCAATTCCAATCCCAAAATCCCGTATCCTGTCCCCCTTTCCCTATTAAAATATCTACCCCCAAACTCCCGATCCCTGTCCATTTTCCCCCATAAAAATCTACCTCCATCCCCCAGATAAAAGTCCCCCACCCCTATACATATTACCCCCATTACCCAGTTTTCCCTGTCCCCCCACCCCCAAACATATCTACCCCAAACTCCCCGTATCCCCCCCCTTTTCCCTTAAAACAAATAACCTCAAACAATCCCGTTCCCCGTCCCCTTACCCCTTTTACAAAAAACCTCCATTTTATCCCGATCCCTGTCCCTTTTTCCCCTAACATATTACCTCCATCCTTCCGGACCCTGGCCCCTTTTTCCCCCAACATATTACCTCCATATTTCCCGTATCCATGGTTCCCCTTTCCCCCAAATATCTCACCTCCAAATCCAGTATCCCCGTCCCCTTTCCTAACTATCACCCCCATCCCCCCCGTTCCCCGTCCCAAATTTCCCCAAAAAATTTTCCTCCATCCCCAGGATCCCGGTCCCCACCCCTAAAACAATTACCTCCATACCCAATCCCGGGCCCCCTTTCCCTTACATATCAAATCCAAACCCCCTCCAGTATCCTTTCCCCAAAACTAAAAAAGGAAAATTTAACCAAACAAGAATAAAAACCCCATAAAAGAACCCCAAAAAAACAATACACAGGCCCCAAAAAATTACAACAAACCCCATTTACTCCAGTATCCCCTTACCCCTTTTTAAAATATCCACCTCCATCCCCCCTTCCCCCTAACCCCATAAAATCTACCCCCCCATCAACCCCGTATTTCCCCCTTTCCCCCATAAAAATTTTACCCCCATCAACAAGTATCCCTGTTCCCTTTCCCTATACATAAACCACCCCCCATCACTCCGATCCCTTCCCCCTTTCCCCCAACAATCTAAATCCATCACTCCAAATTCCCTGTCCCCTTTACCCCTATACAAAATTACCTCCAACACACAGTACCCGGGCCCCCTTTCCCCTTAAAAACTACCTCCAAACAATCCAGTATCCCCGGCCCCTTAAACCCCTTAAAAATTTTCCCCTCCCTAAATCCAGTATCCCCGTCCCCTTACCCTTTTACATATTACCCCAAAACTCCAAATATCCCCGTCCCCCACCCTTTTTATCCACCTCCATCACTCCAAATATCCCCGTCCCCCTTTCCCCTTTTAATATTACCTCCACCTCCCGTATCCCTGTCCCCCTTCCCCCAACATATCTACCTCCATACTCCAGTTAATGTCCCCTTTCCCCCAAATATTCTTTTTCCTCAAACACTCCAGACCCCGTCCCCCCTTCCCCCCTACGATTACCCCATCCCCTCCAAGGGTCCCCGTCCCCTTACCCCCTTACATATCTACCCAAAACCCCGGGCCCGGGGGCCCTTCCCGTAAATATCGACCTCCATCACTCCAGTTAGTCCCCCCCCCGGGGCCCCCAAACCCCAATCCATAATTTTACCTCCCCTCACCCCGATCCCTGTCCCCTTTCCCTATCATATTACCCCAATCACTCCGTATCCCTGCCAAAAATTTTAATAAAAGGAAATGGGCCCCGGAAGTTAATAGGCTACACGGGGGGAACTTTTTTTTATTTTCTTTTTTTCTCCGGGGGCTTTTGGCTACTCTCCCTTTTTTAAAGGGGGTTTTTAGGGAAAAAAAAAAGGGGACAAGGAAGGGAAAGAAAGAGAAAGGGGGAGCAGCGCGGAGGGGGCGGGGAGGAGGGAGAGAGGGGAGGAGTGGGGAAGAGAGAGGGGGGGGGGAGCGAGAGGGCGGTGAAAAAAAACAGCCGATTGAGCAGAGGAGACTCCCTTTTCCCCGGGGGAGTTTTGGGTCTATTTTCTCTCTCTCTTTCCTCTCTCTCTCGCTTCTCTTTCTCTCCTCTCTTTTTCTCCTCTCTCTCTTTCTCTCTCTCTTTTCTTTTTCATTAGGTTTTTGGGGGTTTCCCCCCGCTGCTGAAAAGAAAGCCCCAAGTCCACCCTCTCTGACTGCGAACTAAAAGGTTTCCCCTCTTGGGAATTAGCATAGAGTTGGTGCCAAAAGGGTTTTAAATTTTTTTCTTTGTTTGAATTTTTTCTGGGATTTGGAAAAGGGAGCATAGTTCGAAATAGTGGATTTTGGGGGCAGGTAAGTGTATAAAAACTATTTTTTTTTTCACACGCGGGGGGAATACCCAAAGGGTGGAGACTTTTAACCCTGAAAAGCTTGGTTTTAGCACTTCCCCAAAGATTTCAAAAGTTAAAAAATAATAATACAAAAAACAAATTGTAACCGGGGAAATAAAAACCCCACAAGAATGAGTATACCCCCGGGAGAAGACCAAATACCGATTTAAGTGGGGAGGGATATACAAGGAAAATACCGTCCAGATCAAAGTGGAGCTATATTTCAAAGGGAGTACCAGGGTTTTAAAAAAGGGGGTATATAAAAAGGGGAGTAAAACCCGATCAAAGTGGAGGGTATATAAAAAGGGAAAAAAACCCGTTCCCCGTCAATGTGGAGCTTTTAAAACAGGGGAAGTACCAGTACCAGATCAATGTGGAAACATATACAGGGGAGTACCAGAAACCCGATCAAAGGGGAGCATTAAGGGGAGTACCAGACCCAAACAATGTGGAGCTATAAAACAGGGGAGGACCAGATAAAAGTGGAGCTTTTTACAGGGAAGTTTCCCGGACCAGATCAATGTGGGCTATATACCGGGGAAAATACCAGTACCAGATCAAGTTGGGCTATTACAGGGAGTACCAGGGGGGGGCCAAAATCAATGGGGGCTATTACAGGGAAATTCCCAAAACCAGATCAAAGTGGGCTATTACAGGGAGTAAATACCCGGCCAGATCCCGGGGGACCCAAAACGGGAATACCCGATCAATGTGGGGCTATATACAGGGAAAATACCAGATCAATGGGGAGGGTAAACGGGGGGTACCAATTTCCAGTCAATGTGGAGTATAACAGGGGGAAATACCCGTACCCGATCAATTGGGGCTATATACAAAAAGGGAGTACCAAAAAAACCAGATCAATGTGGAGCTATATAAAGGGGAAATACCAGATCAATTTTGGAGCTTATACCCGGGGAAAAAAAGTTTCCAGATCCCCTGTGGAGCTTTTATCAGGGGAGTACCAGATAAAAGTGGGGGCTATATAAAGGAAATACCAGGACCAGGGTCAATGTGGAGGTATATAAAAGGGAAGTAAAAAACAAGGGGGTAAAAGGGGGTAGGGACCCGGACCAGATCAAGTGGAGCTATTACCCGGGGGTAACCCGGGGGCCCGGGTCAATGTTTGGGGTTTTTAAAGGGGGGGTACCATTAAACCCGATTTAATGTGGGGGCTATAAAAGGGAAATACCAGTACCAGATCAATGTTTGGGGCTATATACAGGGGAGTACCAGTACCCAAAATTCCCAAAGTGGAGTATATACAGGGGAAAAAGTAACCCGTACCCGGGTCAATGTGGAGCCCATAAACAGGGAGTAAAGTAAGAACAATTAAATAAAAAGCTAAAAAGGGAGTACCAAATCCCCGATCAAGGGGGAGATTTTTAAGGAAGTACCAGTAAACCCGATCAATGTGGGCTATATAAAGGGAAATAAACCCGTACCAGAAACAAAGGGGGAGCCCCTTTTACGGGAGTCCGTAAAGAGTTTTCCAAGGGGGAAACCAAAATCAAGTGGAGCAAAATACAAAGGGGTACCAGGGTCAATGTGGAGCATTAAGGGAAAATCCAGTAAACCCGATCAAGGGGGAAACCCATATACAGGGGGTACCGGAAACCCGATTTAAGTGGAGGCCCATATACAGGGGGAAATTTCCAGTACCAGATCAATGTGGGGCATATACAGGGAGTAAGAAACCCGATTTAAGGGAGTAATTTCAGGGGCGGGTACCATACCAGAAACAATGGGACTTAAAAACAGGGAAAAGGAAATCCCCGATCAAAGTGGAGTATATACAGGGGAAATTTCCAGTAAGGGGGAGTTTTTAAGGGAGGGGACCATACCAGATCAATGTGGGGGGGGGGCTTTTAACAGGGAAAGGGGAAAAAAAAATGGGGGACAAATAAGGGAAAAAAACCCGTAAGAATTAGACTATAATAGGGGTTTTTCCAGAAAACCCGATCAATGGGGAAAAAATATACCAGGGAAAAAGAAAATGGAGCTTTTTCCCCCGGACCAAACAATTTTGGAGCTATATACAGGAAAAATCCCCGTACCAAAATTCCCAAAGTGGAAATATATACAGGGGAAAAAAGGCCAGTAAAAGGGGAAAAAGGGGTAAAAGATTGTGGGTTGGGAATTTTTTACAGGGAAAAAACCAAATAACCCGATTTTTTGGAAAAAACTTATTTTTACAGGGAGTAACCCGGACCCGGCAATTTTGGAGTATATAAAAGGAAATACCGTCCGATCAAGGGGGAAAAAATATACAGGGAGTACCAAAACCAGATAATTTTGGAACTATAACAGGGAGTAGAAACCGGGGAAAGTAATGTGGAGCTTAAAAATACAGGAAATACCAGAACCAGATCAATGTTTGGAAAAAATATACAGGGAAGTACCCAAATCAAGTGGGTATATACAGGGAGGACCAGGACCCGATCAATTTTGGGCCTATATACGGGGAAAACCAATCCCGTCAATTTTGGGGGCTAATACAAGGGGGTACCAGAAGAAAAAAAATTTTGGGGCATTTTAAGGGGGAAATACCCGAACCCGATCAAGGGAACTTTACAGGGAGTACCAATCCAATTTTGGGGAGCTATATACAAAGGAAAATACCGGGAACCCGATCAATGTGGGCTATTTTTACAGGGGGAAAACCCAGAACCAGATCAATGGGAACTATATAAAGGGGAAATACCAGATTTAAGGGGGAGGGTAAAATTTTCAGGGGGGTACCGTACCCCGATCAATTTTGGGGTTTTATAAGGGGGTACCCCTTTCCAGGGTCAAAGTGGGCTATTTACAGGGGTAACCGAAAATTTAAGTGGAGCTATAACAGGGAGTAAAACCCGATCAATGTGGGCCATATACAGGGAAATACCAGATCAAGGGGGAGCTATTTTCCCGGGAAAATACCAGTTTCCAGATCAATGTGGGAAACTAATACAGGGGGTACCAAATACCAAAATCAAGTGGAGCATATACAGGGAGTACCCCAAAAAAAACAACGTTTGGGGATTTTACAAGGAGTAAACCCGACAATGTGGAGTATAACAGGGGGAAAAAGTACCAAAATCAAAGTGGAGCTATAACAGGGAGTACCAGGACCAGATCAATGTGGAGGAAAATAAGGGAGTAACCCGTACCAGATCCCAAAGTGGAGCATTTTAAAAGGGGGGAAATTTTCCAAATCAACGTGGGGGGAAAGTTAAGGGAAAAATTTTCCAAAAAATTTTTAAGGTTTGGGGTATAAAAAGGTTTTTCCATTAACCCAAATTTTTTGTTAAAAAATTTTCAAAGGGAGGTTACCAGGGCCAAAATTTTAAAAATTGGGGTTTACAGGGAAATTACCCATAACCGATCCCAATTGTGGGCAAAATACGGGGGGTTTTAAAAAATCCTTGGGCTGTTTAAAAAAAAAGGGGAAGTTTAATACCAATTAGGGTTGGAGGAAAAAAATGGGGTTTTTTACCCCTTTAAAAAAAATTTCGTTTCCAAAAAACTAAGTTTTTACCCTCGGAAGGGCAACATTTTCCAAAACACAAAATAAATTTTAAAACAACAAGTTTAAAAAAGCCGGTTTTTTCCCCTTTTAAAAAAACTATTAATTTTAATGAGTTACTCAAGGGGTTTTTAGAAAAACCTTGGTTAGCAAAAATTTTGAACCCCTTCCCCCAAAAACCATCGAAAGTTAGGAAAAAAGGGGGGAAGTTCGTTTTTTCCCCGTCCTTTTGAAAAAACCACCCCCAGAAATTCCATAACACCTTAGAGCCCAAATCATCCTAAAAAAAGAGAGCCCAAAACAATTTCCCCTCCAAACCCCAAAGCCAAGTTTTAAAACCGCCAACCAAGGCAAATTAACCAATCCTGCCTGTTTATTTCACCAAGTTCCCGGGGGTTTCTGTTTTTCCCCAAAAGGCCTCTTTTCTCTCCCCTCAGGTCAAAGCCCTAATTAAAAAAAAGGGGCTTTGTATTAAAAGAGGGTTTCCCCTGGCCAAGGGGGTTTACACCCAAAAAGGTAAAAACCTTTTTTAGGGAAAAAAAAAAGGGGGGGGCCAAGTAAAGTAAAAGGCCCGTACTTAACAAAGTCCGTAATTCCCAAGTCTTAGGTTAAAAACCCCTTTTAACCAAATTAAATTTTGGCCTTTATTTAAACAACACCCCGGAGGTTTATGTTTAGGACTCTACAAGGCCATTTTGCCCAATTTTAAGGGAATTACAAAGCCGTTCCAAAGGGTTAGGTTTTTTAACCCCCCCGGGGGGTAGGTTCCCCAAAAATTTTATAATTTTAAAAGCCCCTAGGTTTTTTAGCAAACGGGGCCCCCGGGAAATTCCTTTTTTGCGGGCCTGGCCCTTTTTGGTGGGGGAAAAAACCCCCTCCGAAAAAAAACAAAGGGTAAAAAGGGAAGGGGGTCTATTTTTGTTTTTATAAGGGCCCCCGGGGTTGGGCAGGCCCCGGGGTTCTCACAACCCGGGTTCCCCCTTTTTGGTTGGTTTAAACTGGGGTTCCCCCGGGGTTGTTTCTTGGACCTTCTGTTAAGGTTTGGCCCCCGGGGAAATGTAAAAAGGCCTTTTTGTTCTACTAAATTTCCCCCGGGGCCGTATATTTTGGAATTTTGCCCCCAATTAAAAACCTATCCCTTTTATATTTTAGGGGCCCTTTTAAAAAGGGCTCCGGTTTTCCATTTCCCCCGGATTGAAGGGTTTTGTTTAAAAAGGGGACCCCAAGGGTTGAAGGCCTTTAAAATTTTACTTGTTAAGTTGGAAGGGGTTCCCTCAAAAATGTCTTTCCTTTTTAAAAGCTTTCCCCCGGGTTTTTACCCGGGCCTCTTTTAAGGGGGCCCTGTGTTTAGGGGAAAAGGCCCTTATAAGGAAAAAATTTCCCCCGGGGCCCCCCCCGGGGGGGACTAGGGGCCCTCCTTTTTAAGGGGCTGACTATTTGTTTTGGGGCCCCAGGGTCTGTACTAGGGTTTTACTTTCCCCCTTTAAATTTGGGGCCAACCCCCCACTAGGGGGTCCCCCAACCCAGGGCCCCCTGGGTAACTTGGGGTTTCCAATGTCTCAGTACTCTACACCAGCCCAGTAGTCCAATGTCTCAGTACTCTACACCAGCCAGTAGTCCAATGTCTCAGTACTCTACACCAGCCCAGTCAGTGGTCTAGCAGTACGCTCCCTCCCAGGGATCAATGTGCGCTGGCTTTGTGCGTGACGTAAACCCATCCGAGTATAACAACAGCAGGGTAAGAAAAGAAGGGGTCTATCAGTTATATAAGAAGCAGGGTTTAATGGCAGGCAAGGATGTTACATCAGCAACCTGGATAACAGACTGTTGTGAGTTAAACTAAGTTGGCAAAGTAACTGTAAATTAGCAACGTTACTGTAAGTTGGCAACGTTACTGTAAGTTGGCAAAGTAACTGTAAATTGGCAACGTTACTGTAAGTTGGCAACGTTACTGTAGGCTACATAACTTTCAGCCAAGTACTATTTTAGGCCTTTATCTGAATCTATAACGACAGTGAGGCTTTTATATTTTAGGCACTCAAAGTACTACAGAAAATAGCCATTATGCAAGTATAATTGAAGGGTATAGTATACAAGAGAACGTCTCACAGGTTTGAGAGAAACATAATATGTACTTGTGGAGAGTAAGGCTAGGTTCCACGTGAAACAAAGATGACTAACTTACCTTCTGATATAGCGTGAGGTTTGATGACGCAACAGGCGCAGTCTGTGTAATTGGCCGTGTTAGCGGGACCATGGCCCGCTGTGGATGGGAAGAAAAACTCCAGCTCCTGAACAAAAGAACAAAGCATTACTCACTACTGGTGTTCCCCAGAGCATGGTAATAGGCCCTCTCCTGTTCTCACTACTGGTGTCCCCCAGGGCTCTGTACTAGGTCCTCTCCTGTTCTCACTACTGGTGTCCCCCAGGGCTCTGTACTAGGTCCTCTCCTGTTCTCACTACTGGTGTCCCTCAGGGCTCTGTACTAGGTCCTCTCCTGTTCTCACTACTGGTGTCCCCCAGGGCTCTGTACTAGGTCCTCTATAATGTCTCACTACTGGTGTCCCCCAGGGCTCTGTACTAGGTCCTCTTTAATGTATCACAACTGGTGTCCCCCAGGGCTCTGTACTAGGTCCTCTTTAATGTCTCACTACTAGTGTCCCCCAGGGCTCGGTACTAGGTCCTCTATAATGTCTCACTACTGGTGTCCCTCAGGGCTCAGTACTAGGTCCTCTATAATGTCTCACTACTGGTGTCCCCCAGGGCTCTGTACTAGGTCCTCTCCTGTTCTCACTACTGGTGTCCTTCAGGGCTCTGTACTAGGTCCTCTTTAGTACTAGGTCCTCTTTAATGTCTCACTACTGGTGTCCCTCAGGGCTCTGTACTAGGTCCTCTTTAATGTCTCACAACTGGTGTCCCCCAGGGCTCTATACTAGGTCCTCTCCTGTTCTCACTACTGGTGTCCCCCAGGGCTCAGTACTAGGTCCTCTTTAATGTCTCACTACTGGTGTCCCTCAGGGCTCAGTACCAGGTCCTCTTTAATGTCTCACAACTGGTGTCCCCCAGGGCTCTATACTAGGTCCTCTCCTGTTCTCACTACTGGTGTCCCCCAGGGCTCAGTACTAGGTCCTCTTTAATGTCCCACTACTAGTGTCCCCCAGGGCTCTATACTAGGTCCTCTCCTGGTCTCTCTACTAGAATGAATTACTCTTGCTGCTGAGGCCAGTGAGTCAGACCCATGTCCCGCGTTTCTGGTGCCATCTGTGCCGAACTGGGCTCGGAGGCTTGGCGGGGCCTCTTTCCGTGCCACACCCGAGTCAGTGGGGCCTAGAAGCCTTCTCCACACCGACACCGCCTCGTCACCCATCAGCTCCATGGCAACCACAGGGCCAGAGGTCATAAACTGCACCAGGTTGCTAAAAAACATAGAATAAAAAAAAACTGTCAGCTCTGGATGTGAGCGAATAACACTGTTAGCAACATAACCTTTACTGGAATCTCTACTACAGTGCAAATAAACTACTTATGAACTATTTCTGCTCAGATGGTGAGGAATATGTCATTGAAGGTCACATTTTTTAAGGTTAAGAATACACCACAGAGATTTGGAATTATTCAGATGAAATGAGTGGATGAAACTACTTCTAATTCTCATTCTCTTGATTTAAGAAGTAATTATCCCTGTCAAGACTGTTCAAATGTCACCACAATGTCAGTGCAATAAATGTCATAGAGACTGCTAATAATGGTGGTTACTGGTTAGTTGGCCCTTGGAGCCTCCTTGAAACCTGCTCTGGCCGCACAGAGAGACGGGCTAATCATTTACACAGGAAGGACTCACTTGAAGAAAGACTTTGTCTGATGTTCTGTGTAAAAGTCTGCTGCCTCCCTCCTGTAAAGGAACCCATAAAACACACAGGGTTAATGAGTGATCAAATGAAGTCAGGCGTTGACTCTACAGGGCTCCGGTCTAAAGTAGTGCACTATATAGGGAATAGGGTGCCATTCTCTGGTCTAAAGTAGTGCACTATATAGGGAATAGGGTGCCATTCTCTGGTCTAAGTAGTGCCACTGATATAGGGAATAGGGGTGCCATTCTCTGGTCTAAAGTAGTGCAACTATATAGGGAATAGGGTGCCATTCTCTTGGTCTAAAGTAGTGCACTATAGGGAATAGGGTGCCATTCTCTGGTCTAAAGTAGTGCACTATATAGGGAATAGGGTCCATTCTCTGGTCTAAAGTAGTGCACTATATAGGGAATAGGGTTGCCATTCTCTGGTCTAAAGTAGTGCACTATATAGGGAATAGGGTGCCATTCTCTGGTCTAAAGTAGTGCACTATATAGGGAATAGGGTGCCATTCTCTGGTCTAAAGTAGTGCACTATATAGGGAATAGGGTGCCATTCTCTGGTCTAAAGTAGTGCACTATATAGGGAATAGGGTGCCATTCTCTGGTCTAAAGTAGTGCACTATATAGGGAATAGGGTGCCATTCTCTGGTCTAAAGTAGTGCACTATATAGGGAATAGGGTGCCATTCTCTGGTCTAAAGTAGTGCACTATATAGGGAATAGGGTGCCATTCTCTGGTCTAAAGTAGTGCACTATATAGGGAATAGGGTGCCATTCTCTGGTCTAAAGTAGTGCACTATATAGGGAATAGGGTGCCATTCTCTGGTCTAAAGTAGTGCACTATATAGGGAATAGGGTGCCATTCTCTGGTCTAAAGTAGTGCACTATATAGGGAATAGGGTGCCATTCTCTGGTCTAAAGTAGTGCACTATATAGGGAATAGGGTGCCATTCTCTGGTCTAAAGTAGTGCACTATATAGGGAATAGGGTGCCATTCTCTGGTCTAAAGCTAGTGCATCGTATATAGGGAATAGGGTGCCATTCTCTGGTCTAAAGTAGTGCACTATATAGGGAATAGGGTGCCATTCTCTGGTCTAAAGTAGTGCACTATATAGGGAATAGGGTGCCATTCTCTGGTCTAAAGTAGTGCACTATATAGGGAATAGGGTGCCATTCTCTGGTCTAAAGTAGTGCACTATATAGGGAATAGGGTGCCATTCTCTGGTCTAAAGTAGTGCACTATATAGGGAATAGGGTGCCATTCTCTGTCTAAAGTAGTGCACTATATAGGGAATAGGGTGCCATTCTCTGGTCTAAAGTAGTGCACTATATAGGGAATAGGGTGCCATTCTCTGGTCTAAAGTAGTGCACTATATAGGGAATAGGGTGCCATTCTCTGGTCTAAAGTAGTGCACTATATAGGGAATAGGGTGCCATTCTCTGGTCTAAAGTAGTGCACTATATAGGGAATAGGGTGCCATTCTCTGGTCTAAAGTAGTGCACTATATAGGGAATAGGGTGCCATTCTCTGGTCTAAAGTAGTGCACTATATAGGGAATAGGGTGCCATTCTCTGGTCTAAAGTAGTGCACTATATAGGGAATAGGGTGCCATTCTCTGGTCTAAAGTAGTGCACTATATAGGGAATAGGGTGCCATTCTCTGGTCTAAAGTAGTTGCACTATATAGGGAATAGGGTGCCATTCTCTGGTCTAAAGTAGTTGCACTATATAGGGAATAGGGTGCCATTCTCTGGTCTAAAGTAGTGCACTATATAGGGAATAGGGTGCCATTCTCTGGTCTAAAGTAGTGCACTATATAGGGAATAGGGTGCCATTCTCTGGTCTAAAGTAGTGCACTATATAGGGAATAGGGTGCCATTCTCTGGTCTAAAGTAGTGCACTATATAGGGAATAGGGTGCCATTCTCTGGTCTAAAGTAGTGCACTATATAGGGAATAGGGTGCCATTCTCTGGTCTAAAGTAGTGCACTATATAGGGAATAGGGTGCCATTCTCTGGTCAAAGTAGTGCACTATATAGGGAATAGGGTGCCATTCTCTGGTCAAAGTAGTGCACTATATAGGGAATAGGGTGCCATTCTCTGGTCTAAAGTAGTGCACTATATAGGGAATAGGGTGCCATTCTCTGGTCTAAAGTAGTGCACTATATAGGGAATAGGGTGCCATTCTCTGGTCTAAAGTAGTGCACTTATAGGGAATAGGGTGCCATTCTCTGGTCTAAAGTAGTGCACTATATAGGGAATAGGGTGCCATTCTCTGGTCTAAAGTAGTGCACTGTATAGGGAATAGGGTGCCATTCTCTGGTCTAAAGTAGTGCACTATATAGGGAATAGGGTGCCATTCTCTGGTCTAAAGTAGTGCACTACATAGGGAATAGGGTGCCATATGGGACGCAGCCCCAACCACACCACCAACACCATTCCTCTCCTTTCTCATTACATGACTGTTGTATTCTGCACACTCCGTCAAAGACACTCTGAGAGACATTCTAGTTAATGTAGCTGTGTTACAAGTGGTAGAGCGGGAACATTTTCCTGCTCCGTCTCCAGAAGCTTAGCTGCCTACCACATCATAATAAAGGTGACCTTGGTATTTTTCAGCTGTTTGCCCTGTCCTCATAACAAGCTACAACGCTGATGTTCCAGGTGTGCAAATGAGGGATCCTCCTCCTCATTGTTTAAGAATAACAGAAAAAGCCTGAAAAGCCAGTCCTACAAAATGTCCCCAATGTGACATTCAGACAGAGAGTACTTTCAATATTTTTCGAAAACATGTCAGAAAAGAGACACATCATGCATGCACAGATGACAATCATTTTCTAAAATCTAGAATCATGAAAATCACAGGTGGGCAACATATGAAATGCATCTGTAAACCTTCCCTGTCAGCCATTTGAGAGGGAAAATAAGCGGTTAGCGTTTTCCATTTCAAACAGTTTGAGTCAAGGCTGCTCCTCATCCTGTCAGGCATCGAGACACTCACAGAAACAGATTAATCCTGTTTAAACTGGTGGTGATATTTATGTTATGGTTTGAGTCTTCCTAAAATAACTCTCACACATGTGGTTGATGTCTGATTAATGAGCATTCAAATGGGCATCTTTGATCTTGAGAACAGACACAATTTGCCTTTATGCCTGAAAACATTTATGAAATTCTACCGGAGGCTATATCAATCCCAAGAGCTAGGCTAACCATCTTCCCCCACATTATATTGCTGATCCCCACCAACCCTCCACACTGATCCCAGCCAGCTACAGTACTACAGATTCCTATCACCTTTAAAAACACCTGCAATTTCAATAGCAGATACTTAAGCCAGAATCATAATTTCTCATTGATTCTTATTCTATTCTACAGTAATTTCATATTCTAAGCAGGTGGGGACACAACCTGTTTTGCTCTTGTGCAAACATACATCCAAGCCACAGAAGCAGCGTGTGTTGTGTGATTGTAAGGAGTGGTGCTGCCACCCTCTGATCTCATGTGAAACAGTCTGCCTCCAGACTCCAGGCAATGACAAACTTCCTCCTCTGTCCTTCAAATACCACATTGTCAAGTGAGCTGTTCTGAAATGGGATCAGGGCTGTGGCTTGATATCTTATAAACTGTACAGTTTGCTCATTCAAAAAGTCCTTGCTGTAGGTTCGGGCGGTCTCCATATTGTCATAGTGTTTCTGTACCATACCTGGGTATTAATATTAATTATTATACCATACTGGGGTATATGGTATTACGGGAAGTGCACACAAGGGGCGCCATTTCCCCCACCAACAAATTGGGATGCACAAAACAATTTAGGGAACATGGATATTGATTGTCTCTGCCAAATTTTTTATTGTATTTATTTAACCTTTATTTAACTAGGCAACTTAATAAGGAACAAATTCGTATTTACAATGACGGACTACCAAGAGGAAAAAGGCCTCCTGTGAGGAAGTAGGATAAAAATTAAAAATATAGGACAAAACACACATTAAGCAAAGAGAGACGCCACAACACTACATAAAGAGAGACACCACGACACTACATAAAGAGACACCACAACACTACATAAAGAGAGACACCACAACACTACATAGAGAGATACGCCACAACACTACATAGAGAGATACGCCACAACACTACATAAAGAGAGACACCACAACACTCCATAAAGAGAGACACCACAACACTACATAAAGAGAGACACCACAACACTACATAAAGAGAGACACCCCAACACTTCAAAAAGAGAGACACCACAACACTTCATAAAGAGACACCACAACACTACATAGAGAGAGACGCCACAACACTACATAAAGAGAGACACCACAACACTACATAAAGAGAGACACCACAACATAACATAAAGAGAGACGCCACAACACTACATAAAGAGAGACACCACAACACTACATAAAGAGAGACACCACAACACTACATAAAGAGACCACAACACTACATAAAGAGAGACACCAAAACACTACATAAAGAGAGACACCACAACACTACATAAAGAGAGACACCACAACACTACATAAAGAGAGACACCACAACACTACATAAAGAGAGACA